AATTTTAATATGGTCAGGAACAGTATTCCAAAGAGAAAAGGCTCAGTCCCTTATTTACGGTTGAATAATGCATGAATAGTGTTTCTACTGACTCTCTGCTGGAGGTTTGCTGTCCTTACTGTAGAGCTTCTGACGGTCATGTTCAGAGGTGTCTTGCACTGATCAGCACAAGCTGGTATCAAATCTCCAAAATAAAAAGAGTTAAACTCATTGAGGATCTTGTTTTTTCAACACTCTTTTCGTGTTGTTATAGTAAGCAGTTGAACTGTTGTACATTAGCTATTACTCTTTTTTTCTGCATTGCACGAAACACCCATTTTGAAAGATTTGTTTCCTGCATGTGGCTTGTCTTCCTTCGGGGGAACATGTTTTAACTAGGCCACGACTTGGAAACAGCTCCTTAGTTAATAGATTAGCTCAGCCTGGAGACAGGGGTTAAATGACCCAGAAACAGGCCCTGTTCACCAGGCAGGGCCAAGCAGTCACATCAAGTTAACGTGTCCCTTTCCTGAGGATGGCATTAGAGAGATCCCACTGGAAAACTGGGAGAAGGGAGAGTAAGTGTACTGCCTCACAACCTACAGCATGTTTGTATGTGAAGTGGTTTGTGTTTCTTAAGAACTGTTAAAAGAAATATGCATTAAAGACAATTTGTCTTGCCTCTCTGTCATTGTTAATTTAACAATGATTTAAAATTTAAGCTTTTCATCATTTTAACATGATGTTCAAAGATATAGGGGTGTAGTGATTTAGTGGTTTAAATCTACCTGAAGAATTAGAGATTGGGCAGGTAATTCAGAGAATACCATATCGCCACAAAAATTGATTTGAAAAAACAGCAATGTGCACAAACAGTTTCAAAGAATACACAACTTTATTAACATCATGAAGTGTGCCAGTTCAGTACACATGTATGTATCAAAGGGATATAATTGTACACAAATTGCTCATCTGTCACTCAAGGATTATAATAGATACTTATAGTACTGGGTCAGATGCATTGATTATAATACTGTACTTGAGTTACTGTAGTCAACCTTGTAATAATGAATCTCATAACAATCAACAATTATAAAGATAGAAACACAAGTAAATGTTCAACTATTTTCATAAACCTGAAGGTGTCAGGCTGGGACCAATTTATGATTTATGACTGACCCAAAGGAGTTAAATGGTTTCAGGCAGTTTATTTTCAGTTCAAGGCAAAATAATGATTACTATTAATCTTCTTGAAAATGAAATTCTAAGCATAGACATAACCTTGTCGGTTTGGGATTATCTTGACAGTTAGACTTTTTTCTATTTTTGATTGTAAAAAAAAAGTGCAAATTTAAACACTTCATTAATAATTTTCAACACAATAATAGTGCATTGTCATTCTGGAATAATAATAATTATTATAGTATTATAGAATAGCAAAGAATAGATTTTATTTGGAGCTGCGCAGTGGTCCAGAATAAAGGAGAGGCACTGTGCTTTGGAGTGGTGATTAACCAGCCACCACCAACTCCCCTCAGTGAACAGCACTGCAGTCCAAACCCATGGCTAACAGCTTCATCCCAAAAAGCAGGATTCAGAGAGCTGTGCTTTCTTCTCTTAGATCTCCTGTCTTTTTGATTGGATTTAAATTTCCAAAGCTTGTTTTGTGCTCTGATTCAATATCCAAGTTCCATTTATTCCAATAATAATTTCCATTTATTAGTAAAATACATGATATGCAGAGGACACAGCATGACAGAGCTTCAGGAATTATGACGATTCATTTGATCATTTCTAGTTTGCCTTTTCTACCTTCTTATCAGCATGTG